GTGATAGAAAAGTTTTACACGTTTATTCGCGTTGCCGATCCGAAGTCATTCCGACCGAGAGTGATAGAATACTTAAACAACCAAATTAAATGAAAAAATAAAAAAATAAAAAAAAAAAAAAAAAAAAAAAAAAAAAAAAAAAACAAATAATAAGTAATAATAAACGATGAATAATAAATGTAGGATTCGTATCCGTTCGTTGGTCAAAGATGATGTTTCTTAACGCTATAATTTATATTTTTATTTCTCCCCACCCCTTTTTCTTTTTTTCTTTTTCTTAATCTTTTCTCTTCTCTCTCTTTTTTCTTTTTTTTCTCTTTTTTTCTCTGTTTTTAGGTTTACGTTAATTAATACATCCATATATATACACATATAGCGTATTAATATGTATGTTGTCCTATTTATGTGTACCTTCTTGTGTCTAGTCCGGGAGCGAGGAGAGATAGTAAATTCAGGAAATAATATCGATCATCTATCTACGACGATTTAAAAGAGGAAAGATACGCAAAACGGGGGAAAAAAAAACAAAAGAAAAAAGGAAGAGAAAATTGGGCGACTCGATTTGTGGTTTCCAGCCTTAATAGAGTTATATATGATAAATAATGATAAATAATATATGATATCTTTCCGAGCTCCTAAAATCATGTAAAAATGTATATTCAAGTGGCTGATGAGTTATTCTAATATTTTATTTATTTGACAATTTATCGTATTTTGAATGTCGTACGTATTCTCGCGATCTCGCGTATATTAGGTCTATTCATACATATATATATCAATATACATATACGAAAAAGGATTATTATTATTATTATTATTAAATGAGAAATAAAATGAATAAACCTTGATCATTGAAATAAAATAATATCACTTGTGTCACGAGAGAAAGTACAAAATATTATGCAATTAATTTTGTGTTTCTCGTTTCGTCGTGACGAGAAAGAAAGAAAGAAAAAAAAAATACAATTAATACAAAACAAACCGGAGTCACTCTTTTGATAACGAATGCAATCAATTTTAGAGTTATATCACTCTAAATCACTTCAAACCTTCTTTATCTATATTCTTTATCTATAACAGAAAACACGTTGTGCTCGAAGTATTTCCTCATTGGATACTACAAAATTCAACATCTGTCTATAATGACTGATTTTTGTAGCCGTATGTATGTGTCTGGATGTAGTAGTGTGTGGATGTATTGATGAATATTGTGTGATATTACTCCCGTCGTTGATAGTATGATAGGTACTATCTTAACTTTATCTATTATTATTATTATTATTATTATTATTATTATTATTATCATCATCATCATCATCATCATCATCGTCATTAATATTACTTATCGTCGTCATCACCATCCTCACATCATCACCATCATTATCATCATTATTATTATTATTATTATTATTATTATTATTATTATTATTATTATTCTCATTACCATTACTATTAGTTATAATTATGTATATTTTTTTGTATCTTTCATCTAGTACTACGTGTAACTTTCAAACACCTTATTACTATCTACTTTTATGTTGCTATAAAAGGGAAATTACTTTATTCGCTTATCTATTGTCGCTCTACTACCACTACTTTCTTACCACCCGCTATAATTATTGCTGCTATTACTTACAACTACTCCTACTATTACTACTAATCTATTTACTACTACTTACTACTTACTATTACTACTACTACTACTACTACTACTACTACTACTACTACTACTACTACTACTACTACTACTACCACTACTGACTATTTATTTATTTATTTAATTATTATATAACAACAGAAATTATGTTTTATTTAATGATTAAACTGATTTGTGTTTGGTTCAAAGGTCGTTTGTTTTATTTCAATTTATGTGTTTTAGTTATCTATCATCTGGTTACAACCAATCAATACTATTACATCCGCTCCGACTATTTCCTCCTCTAACTCCTCAAATATGTACATCGTTTCGATCAATCTATGTCGTCTCTATCTAAACTTTAATGTTTAGAGAATGCGAGAATGTGAGTGTGTGAGAGAAAGAGATGTTTTGTTTTTTTTTTATCAAAAATCAATTTCACGGGATGGATCTTAATATACACGAGGATCTACGCTTCGTGGATCGTGCCTCGTAAGTTGTAACCATTCATTTATTATTTTTATTATTATTATTATTATTATTATTATTATTATTATTAATATTATTATCATCATCATTATCACCATTATTATTATTATTATTACTATTATTATTATTACAGTAACTACTACTGCTACTACTACTGCTACTACTACTTTTTAAATAATTATTTTTAGAATATTAACAATCACTGTTACTTTATTATTAATTATTGTTATAATTATATGATAGCTGATAGAAAAAAAAGATCTCTGTAAAGGAAGTTACCCGACATTAGAGAAGGATGTAGTCTCTCGGTTATTTTTCATCATTTCCGACAGCATAATTAACAATTTTGCTGTAATTGTTTTAGCTGAATACTGTCCTATTACTCTAATTTTGGCAAGTGAGGAGGAAAGAAAGAACAAAAATCGTATTACCCGAATCCTTATGATTATTTTTTATTGTACTCTCTATGAAAGAGAAAAAGAGAACCGGAAGAGATAAAAAAAATCCAAACGAAAAAAAGATCTTCGTTGACGAAAGCTTAGGTATATTACTTTTTAATTTGTTATAAAAGTTAAAGGATCCTGTCTCTTGAAAGAAACGCACATTCAAAACGCACACATGGATACGTATTTTCGCGTAAATATGTGCGTAAATATGTACGTATGTAAAATGAAGCGCACGATAAATCGAAAAAAAGAGATGACGCATTTTGAAATCGAATGATCTTTCATTAGTGTGAACGAAGCTTCCTAATATCGCAAATAGATCAAAAAATATTTATTATAATTGAATTATCTATGCAAATATGTGTATTGCGTGCTACGGTTTTCAGAACAGATCGTATTTTGTGAAAGTTAATTGAATGCATTTTATTGATCTCATACGTTATACATATACACTTTGATTGTCATCTAAATTGTATACAATTCAAACGATGATTTTAAAAAGACTCGGAACAAGTTACAACATATTAGAGAATTGATTAATTGGCGTGATAGGTACTTACAGAATTCGTACATATCGTCGAGAATTACAATATACAATAGATTAATTTTTTGTTGGAAAAAATTTTCAAATATCATCACTTCACACTATTTTAATCGATAAGTATTTTTGAACAACTTTTCTACTTAATTTAATTACTTCCACTTGTCTGGTTTTACCTCTCACATCCACTTCTAAAAAAGAAATTTTTCAAT